TTTACATAATGCAAAATCAGTTAGTTTACCTTTGTCTGAAAATGTGAAATTGTCTGTTGATCATTCACCTAAAACTGGAGATGAAAAGAAAAGAATGTTAAATGTACCATATGCCAATGCTGTTGGATCTGTCATGGTATGTTCTAGGCCTGATATTACTTTTACTCTAAGTGTCCTAAGTAGATTTATGAGCAATCCAGGAGAGCTTAATTGGAAAGCTATGAAAAACCTGATCAGATATTTAAAAGGAACTCATAACTTAGGACTGATGTTTAAAACTGATGAAACTGGTCTTAAATTGAAAGGTTATGTAGATTCAGACTTTGTTGAGAATATTGATAATAGAAAATCCACCACTGCATATTTTTATTGATAAATAATACTTGCATTAGTTGGAAGTCATAACTTTAGAAACTTGTTGCATTGTCCTCCACTGAAACTGAATACATTGCTGCTACTGAGGCAGTGAAAGAAGGTATGTGGCTGATGGGATTATTAAAGGAATTGCAACTTGTAAAAAATTAGGTGGAGCTATGTTCTGATAACCAAAGTGCTATTTTCTTCAGTAGCAATCTTGTTTTTCATGATAGAACTAAACATATAGATGCTAAGTTTCATTTCATTAGATATATTGTTGAAAAGGGTGATATAAAATTGGTTAAAATTCCCACCAAGGTAAATCCTGCTGATGAAGGTACAAAGGTAATCCATATTAGTAAATTTCTTGATTCTTTAAGATTGTTGAATCTTGAAACTTTCTAAGTTTTTTTGTTTTTTAACTGGCAATAAAAGCAAATGAAGTTAAGTTTGCTTGAATCCATCTAGGACTATTCTCAAATCAGCAAGGTGGAGATTGTAGGGTTGCTGAATTTATAAGTCCAATTGTAAGTGAGCCCATATCTGGTCCGACCCAGCTAATGGAATTCTCCAGAACTTGTTTATTTGATTTATCAAAACACGGTTTTGATGGATGGCTGACACTTGGACTATTACTGACCGTTGGGTTGTAAACCTTTGGCTATTTCATATAAATAGCATGGTTGACTCTTTGGATGACTGATTCGTTCAATTGGAAACCCTGGTTCTTGTTTATCTTTCGACTGCGTTCTGTGTTCTGATTAATTTGTAAATATACAGTGAGATTTCTGAGTGATTTTTCATATAGAAGATAGAGAGAGTTGTGGTTAATCTCTTTGTGAGATTATTCTGTAATTTTGAGGGTTTATGGCTTGTATTTTGAATTCGAACATTCTTGTTGTTCTTTAACTCTATTTTTCCTGATGTGGGCTATTCTACTATATTCGAACAATATCCTAACGGATGCTCAACGGGGGATTAGGCGTTAGAAGTGGTCGTCGAACCTCCGGGCCTTGGGCTAAAAATTCTTTGTGTTCTTTTACTATTCTGCATTACTTTGTGTATTTTGGTATATCTTGGTTGAATCACAATTTAAATCGTAATATCTGGGACCAACATGAAGAAGTTAGAGTCCCCCCATAAACAAATTATAAAAAGGAAAACCTGATATTGACATGATGCATAATAGCATTCACTAAACAGAAATGAGAATTACTTTATTTTTATTTAAAATTAATTGGAGGTTTTTAAAAAGCAAGTGTTAAACCATTTACCGACATCCCAAAAACACTTATCAAAAAGTTGAGATTTAGGCTCACCAGCATGAACAAGACACATCATCTTGATTATGTAATCTGAAAATTATGCTCACAATTTAAATTTGAGTAATAATTTCATAAACTTCATATTATGAACACCATGCAATCATTTAGTATATATATCAAATATAAAGTACTTTATTTTTATTTAAAATTAATTGGAAGTTTTTAACAAGGAATAGTGTTAAACCATTTATCGACATCCCAACAACACTTATTAAAAAGTTGATATTTAAGCTCACTAGCATTAACAAGACACATCGTTTTGATTGTGTAATCTGAAAATTATGCTCACAATTTAAATTTGAGTAATAATTTCATAAACTTCATATTATGAGTACCATGTAATCATTTAGTATATGTATCAAATATATTAGATACGAATAATACTAGATGGTCAATGTGGAGGATGATAGAACCAAATTTATCACCTTATTTAATTTGTAAAAATATAAAAAATTCAATCCCTATTTTAGTTAGTGGCAATTAATGACCAATTTTCAAGAACAAACATCATACAGGAATTCTTTGGATTGAAAAATCTTCTGATTCATCATTAAATATCCATTTGAATTTTTATCATTATTGATTCAGTAATAGTTAACTAATTGTGCAAAACAATAATACATTAAATTTTTAAACTCCTAGTTCAATATAATGTTTGTCATTTGAATAACTATTCAATCAAACAAAAGAGATAGTTAATTGTTGAAAATATGATTAATACTAATTCAAAATGATATCATATGAGTTATATGTTTTCCTTCATAGATAAATACTAATTCAAAATGATATATTTTTCGAAACATACGTTAATCTGGGAATACATTATATTTTATTATTATTTCTTCAAATGTAATATGTTAATATTTTTCTGAATATTGAAATTATAATTCGTGCTATCCAGGAGCAAATAATATTCTACTAGAATGTTAATTATATTGTTGTGTTATTTTAAGAACAGCAATAATTAAGAATGAATTCGATAATTAATGTTTTATTGATAAATATAAAAAAGAGCGATGATGAAACATTCAATTGCACACCACTATGATAATATTAATTAATCTATAAAAACACATGAAATATTGGCTTTAATTCATTAACATGAACTTAGTGGAAAAGAAAAAAAAATGTAAAACTAATTAATATGAATTGAATTGAAAAATTAGATATATTAACGTAAAATTTGCCTTTTTTATTAACGTGAATTGATGGTTTCATCTTTGATTAATGAATTAAGTTAAATGAATATAACGTTTGATATAGGAGTTGACCGATCACTCACATTGCATGTGGGTTCCGACCTGAATTAAATAATGCCGACCTCCCCATGTGTGTGTGTTGTGTCATCCTCTATGTCAAATATTATGTTTGGGTAGTAAAACTCTTGATTAATACATACAAGACATACATTGGTAAAATGGATCTACGCAAAATTTTCGCAAAAGGATATGAATTTACCTTTTTACGCATACGGACATATATGAATTGATGGTCTCGGACATAAATTTACCTTTTTTTTCGTAAAATTTAAGCAAATAGGAATGTAAACAGACAAAATCTTCATGGATTTGCAAATAGATTTGCGAAAAGGTAATTATTAAGTTACATTAAAATAATCATTATGAATTTGCATAAAATTGAAAAAGGAGAGAAGAAGAAGCAACACCTCGTTTTGATGCATATGTATATATATTTAAAAAGTTCACATATTATCAAATTAATTTTGGTACACATGATAAATAATTGTGTTTATACGAATTATTACCTTATTACTAATTTATTTTTATTTTAAAAGAATCGTGTTGATAACATGTTTTATATATATATATATAAAAGAATAAAGAAATCAATAAATTTGTATATGTTTTATTAAGAACCAAACCCCCATATTTATATGGAAGAATTAGGGATACTAAAATAATAAAAACTAGGGCTGTAGGAATATAATCATCATTCACTAATAATCATATTATTAAAAAAAAAAAAAATCGAAAAACCGATCAAACCAATCAAACCAAATCGACTTGGGTTGATTTGAATTGATTTGACATAGGTAATTGATTTGGTTTGGCACTTATTATTATTATTATTTTTACCAAAACACGATGCGTCGGTTCAGCTATGGTGCATCAAACCGTTGGTTAAGCGAACCAACTCAACTCAACTCACTTACATATTTTATGTTTTTTTAAAAGAAAAATAAAAATTAAAAGATAAACCATAATCTCATAATTATATCTCGATTCTCTCCAATATATGATATTGCCGTAAGCAATAGCAATGAAAAATTTCTTTTACAAGCTCATTATGTTGTACTTAGACTTTTTTTCATTTTTAGGTAGTCGGGTTACATAATGCATAAAAAAGCAACAAAACTCTTTAGTTTTCCGTTGATTCGTCTCCATTAGCCTGATTTTTGAACCAACGGTTCGGCTTACGAGGTAGATTGGGTTGAAAGTCACCCAAATCGACTAATTTGGTTTTGATTTCGGGTTGAAGTAGAAATCGATCCAAACCAAACTATGCACACGCCTGTGTGTATAAATATGTATTTAATTTGATATCTGGTTTAACTCTTTGAACATTCATTCTCTTTTTATCTGGGTAGATGTCCAATCCAATTTTTAAAACATTGAAAAATATGGCACCAACACCTTATACAGCTTAAAGCGACGCTGCTTGGTGAAATAATAGAAAGTGTGTTCAACTATATATTTCAAAGTAAAATTCGACATATCCTCTTAATGAAAGTAGAGTTAGTCGTAATAGAAAGAAACCCTTGTGGCATACATTGTTTGGATGCTATCATAATTCATAATCTTTAATTCTCAATTGTTGACCTCTTCTTAGCCTAAGCTAAGGTTTTCTTACCGACCACGTTTCAGTACTCCACTTGTTGAGGCTATCATAAAATCATTTTACCATCTCAAATATCTGACAAGTCACAAAATAATGGGTGATGGATAATTGCGCACCACCTTAAATTGACGATTAAATTGTACACGATCTAAAGTTAAAAAGCAAATTCATCTAACTATATTATGTTTGGCTTATAATTTTGACGTTGACGATGACGGTTTTCTTCGAATAAAAATTCGAATTTACGGAAAATTCAATGTATTGAAAATAAGTTAGAGATTCAAAACCTCGCCTTTGAAAGTTAGGGACTTAAAGCCACACTGTATGAAAAGTTCGAGGGATTATTTTCCTTTTAAAAAACGCTGATTCAGCTGTAGACTCCGGAGTCGCTAGATCTTCGCGGAGAGATAGGGGGGATAGCAACAAGTTCTGAGTCCCGAGTCTAACTCAGTGAGTGAGATGGCAGCAGAGGGGGAACCGACTCGGATAATGGTGGCCGTGAGCGAGTCCACGATAAAGGGGTATCCACACCCGTCGATAAGCAGCAGAGGAGCATTCGAGTGGACTCTGAAGAAAATAGTTCGCTCCAATACCTCTGGTTTCAAGCTCCTCTTTCTCCATGTCCAAGTGCCTGACGAAGATGGTTCTTCCTCCTCCTCTCTCTCTCTATATATATCTTTGCTAGTATCTATGAATGTATAGATTAAATATAACGTGTGTAGATGTGATGAGTGTCTAATTTATTTGCGCAGTTGTTCTTGCATCTGGTGTTTTAGATCGTTTTGCTTGGATTTTTTTCCCCTTGACTTAACTGTTTTGTTATTATTATTATTTTCGGAAAATACATACATTCTGGTTGAGTTTTGTAACTTACGGAAACTTGAGCATTTATTGTTTAGGCTAAATTGCGTGAATGAATTGAGTGATTTGCAGTTGGAAAATAGAATAAATCCACTTTTTGTTGGAGCTATAGGTAGTTAACTTGAGTTTTTCAGTGACCCGTTTAGCTAGTTGCATATACTGTTTATTTCCTCATAGTTTTGATCTTCTGCACATTTTCCTGTGACTGATGATTTATTTTGATTAGATTTAGAGGAACCTTGAATTTCCAATTTACAGTATCTTGGGTTTGTATGTATTTTTTTGTTGATCAAGGGTAAACTTCCTCCGAGGATTGTCATATACTGAGTTTATGTTCTCAATAGTCAAACAACTATGCTGAATATTTGCTAATACTTTCACTATACTAATATGACCATGTAGATGATGGATACACTTATTAGTATTGATTAGATGTAATGTGATGTATTGTTCTTCTTCTACGTAGAAATGAATAGAAGAAGAAATGTGTCAATGGTATAGAAGTTCTTGATCATATGTTTGACATCGTAGTAGTTAATTCCGTTTAGAAGTGCTTTGGTCAAAGTAACATACAAAGTAGGAAGTGTTCCTTGCATCCTTCAATGATAATTAGAACAATGGGCTATTCTCAAGTAATTCATGGAATAATGCATATTAATATCATTATAATAACAACAATTTATTGGTGGAAGTTAGTTTATCTTCCAAATTGCCTTTTTTGTTTTTTTCAAGGCACAATTTGTGTTCGATGTAAGCTAGAAATGTTGATTTCTTTTAATGCATTCATCTCATGCCCATGACATGAAGTCACGACCATAGTCAACTGGAGGTATTGCTACTCTTCTTAAATTATTTCTAAATCAAATCACTGGGCTACCCAATTGCACCAGGAAAATTCCTTGCTATATTGATAAATTTTCTGATATCACAAAAACTGATGGGTGCTTGATATAACCTGAGCCACCTTGTTAGATTTGTGCACCTCTGCTGGGCTGGTATCAGAAACAATGTGGAACCCTTAACTTATTTTAATGACGTCCTTGTATGAAAAGTAATCTGGATAGGATGCTCATGTCTCAAAATCTCTGTTTTATTAAATTTATAAGCACTAATTCTGTCATACTGCCTGGAAGGCAGAAATTAGTTCTTTTCCCCTTTCTGCCAGCTCTTGATCTGCATGATGTACATGTTTCCCAGTTTCTGTAAAGGAAAAATAACATCTGAGCTTCTATTCCTATATATTCCTCCTAGGTTTTGATGATATGGATAGTATTTTTGCGTCTCCTGAAGATTTTGCTAGCATGAAGCACCGGAACAAGATCAGGGGACTTCACCTGTTGGAATTCTTTTTCAAGCACTGCCATGATATAGGGGTACCAAACACTTGTTCTTAAATTTTTTGTTATCAATACAGTACCTACTCATGTGCTAATGTGTTTGTAGGTTGCCTGTGAAGCATGGATTAAGAAAGGTGATCCAAAAGAAGTCATCTGTCATGAGGTAAACCGTGTCCGACCAGATTTTCTCGTTGTTGGAAGTAGGGGCCTTGGTCCTTTCCAAAGGTATACCTCATTTGTATTGTAAACTTCATATTTCCGTCATAGGTTTAGATGTTCACTTTGCAAATAATAAGTTCAACAAAGTTGCTAAAATTCAAATAATCACATATATCCCCCCCAATTAATTCAATCCTTCACTTGATGAATTTTAATGTTTTCGATTAAGATGATGAAGTTGCAAATTATTTGCAGGGTTTTTGTGGGAACTGTGAGTGAATTTTGCGTAAAGCATGCTGAGTGCCCTGTCATTGCAATCAAGAGGAGTGCGTCCGAGACTCCTCAAGATCCTGTTGACGATTGATCCATTATATCCCCGTCATATCTTCCTCCATGTTAATATTCACTTGGTGTCTCTGTCTGTGGATCTTGTTTCATAGCTCTTTTCTCATTAAATTTCCGATATTTAGAACTGTTGGAGCACCACATATGGACAGGTTGAAAATGATTTCTTATATATTCTTATGGTTTTAGTGGAAATTTTTGTGGGATATTCCTTGCAACAAGTTTGTATATATTTCTCGTTATATGTCTTGGACAGACTCTTAGGCCTTATCCAGGAAGAAGCTTTTCTCCCATTTACTTCCACCATATAACCAATGCATGCTTTTAATCAATATTGAGGCAGGTGAGTCATCATAATGCCATTTAATGAGAGGTTTATCAGGATCAGATTTTTAAACCTTGCGACACCCTTCAAAGGAGTCATTCCCCACCCAGGAGCTACTTCATCATATTCTGAATTCAATGGTTTTAAGAAACTCCATGCAGTAGTTCGTCTTGGACCAGATCTAGAACTCTCTTTCCCTATAATTTTTAGATTAACTTGACTAAATTGTAACGTGCTCAGAGGGTAAGTGAACGTTCCATCAAGTTAAACTGGAAAGCTAAAGCAAGCTGAAATCAGAAAGAGGAGAAAAATGTTTCCCAGAGAGACTGGCTGAACCGAAAAATACGTCATTAATTGATGATAACCAGTCACGTAGAAAAACTAATGAACTAGTGCAATATTGCTTTGTGGGAATTGAACGGGTTCAATTTGATGCTCCCATAATTTGCGATTAAAACGCATCTTTGGCTAATGCGACTTTATTAAATCACACTTTTAATCGGATTGCTATACGTGGATGAATCTTGACTGTTGGTTTGAATTCTGGATGATTCTTTTCTTTAATGTCATATTTCATTTCCCACTCTCGATGTTGGCTTTTATGGTTTCATTATGTTCTCTCTCTGAGAGTACACCGTTCTGAGAGTTTTCACCACTTTACGATCTCTCTGTAGTTCCTTCTCAAATTCTTGATTTGAGAAGACGATCTGTAATCTTGTTACCTCTTTGTGATGATATTTAGGAAGTGTTTGTGCTTCTGATTTGTTGATTCTGAGATTCTAAAGCGATTCTTTGTGGTTCGTGTAAATCAATTGCTATATTTTGAGAGAAATGAGTGTTCTGCACTATTCTTTGTGATTGACTGCACATTATTGTAACCTTTTGTTGCCATTTGGGCGTTATAGTGGAACCGAGCATAATCCAACATTTGGTTGCTCAACGAGGGATGTAGGTGTTAGAAGAGATCATCGAACCTCCAGGACTTAGGCTGAAATATATCGATCGTGTTCCTTTGATTTTCTGCACTTTATTTCAGAAAAAAGATTTTTGATATTTTTGTTTCTTGGACTAATATAGTGTGTTCCTGGCCTAATAGTGAAATCAGAGCCATTAACTGAGGAGCAGGATATCTGGATCTTGGAGAAGAACGGTTGATCTAAAAAGGATCCAAATATTTGGAATTGTTGTTAAGCAAAATTACAAAATATCGAGTTTTAAAATCGGTGGGTGAGATCTTTCTAAACTTTTGAAAAGTTCACTTTTTAAAAAGGTTTTTTGATTTTTCCCTTGATTTACTGTGCACTGGAACCCTCTTATAAATGTCTTCGTGGTGACTTGATTTTACCAAAAATGATGAGAACGTGAACTCCCAACCATTTATGCGTTGAAGAGATCGTTTCTTATTTTGTGCCAAAGCAATTTATAAATCACAGGCTAAAACAGATGAAATCAAAGGGCATTACTTACACAATTCAACATTAAAAAAAAAAAAAAAATTGGCTAATGCGACTTTATTAAATCGCACTTTTAATCGGATTGCGATACGTGGATGAATCTTGATTGTTGGTTTGAATTCTGGATGATTTTTTTCTTTAATGTCATATTTCATTTCGCACTCTCGATGTTGGCTTTTATGGTTTCATTATGTTCTCTCTTTGAGAGTACACCGTTCTGAGAGTTTTCACCGCTTTACGATCTCTCTGTAGTTCCTTCTCAAATTCTTGATTTGAGAAGACGATCTGTAATCTTGTTACCTCTTTGTGATGATATTTAGGAAGTGTTTGTGCTTCTGATTTGTTGATTCTAAGATTTTAAAGCGATTCTTTGTGGTTCGTGTAAATCAATTGCTATATTTTGAGAGAGATAAGTGTTCTGTACTATTCTTTGTGATTGACTGCACATTATTGTAAACCTTTTGTTGCCATTTGGGAGTTATAGTGGAACCGAGCATAATCCAACATTTGGTTGCTCAACGGGAGATGTAGGTGTTAGAAGAGATCATCGAACCTCCAGGACTTAGGCTGAAATATATCGATCGTGTTCCTTTAATTTTCTGCACTTTATTTAAAAAAAAAAGGTTTTTGATATTTTTGTTTCTTGGACTAATATAGCGTGTTCCTGGCCTAACAGTGATATCAGAGCCATTAACTGAGGAGCAGAATATCTGGATCTTGGAGAAGAACGGTTGATCTAAAAAGGATCCAAATCTTTGGAATTGTTGTTAAGCAAAATTACAAAATATCAAGTTTTAAAATCGCTGGGTGAGATCTTTCTAAACTTTTGAAAAGTTCACTTTTTAAATTTTTAAGATTTTTTGATTTTTCCCTTGATTTACTGTGCACTGGAACCCCCTTATAAATGTCTTCGCGGTGACTTGATTTTACCAAAATGATGAGAACGTGAACTCCCAACCATTTATGCATTGGAGAGATCGTTTCTTATTTTGTGCCAAAGCAGTTTATAAATCACAGGCTGAAACAGGTGAAATCAAAGGGCATTGCTTGAATGCTACTGCGAGTACATGCAAAGAAATGATCAAAAGAGCTGTATTTGCTAGAGAATTGAGAGTTCCTAACATAATGCATGACTATTTAAGATGAGGATTCACTGCAAAAACTAGCTTGGCTCATTATTGCTGAGATAATGGCCTACCTCTTCACATTCACCGTGCAATGCATGCAATTATTGATAGACAGAAGAATCATGGCATACACTTCTGTGTATTAGCTAAAGCGTTACATATGTTTGGTGATCACATTCACTCTGGTACCATAGTAGGTAAACTTGAAGGGGAAAGAGACATCACTTTGAGCTTTGCTGATTTACTACGTGATGATTTTATTGAAAAAGATCGAAGTTGCAGTATTTATTTAACTCAAGATTGGGTATCTCTATCAGGTGTTCTGCCCGTGGCTTCAGGGGGTATTCGCATTTGGCATATGCCTGCTCTAACCGAGATCTTTGGGGATGATTTCGTACTACAGTTCAGTAGAGGAACTTTAGGGCACCCTTGGGGTAATGCGCCAGGTACCGTAGCTAACCGAGTAGCTCTAGAAGCATGTGTAAAAGCTCGTAATGAAGAACATGATCTTGCTTCTGAGGGTAATGTAATTATTCGTGCGGCTAGCAAATGGAGTCCTGAACTAGCTGCTGCTTGTGAGGTATGGAAAGAGATCAAATTTGAGTTTGCAGTAATGTATACTCTATAAGTAAGATAACAAGTAATTACCCTCCGTTCTTTTAATTGAAAACTCGGCCCAATCTTTTAGTAAAAGGATTGAGCTAAATACAAAGATTCTATTGCATGTATTTTGGCTAAATACATACTTCTCCAGATATACAAGATTTGAAATACAAAATCTAAGACTAAATCCAAATCGAAGACTCAAACGTTTCTATTGTTGTTTTGGATCCACAATTAATCCTATGGATCTTTAGGATT